AGAGTGTGAAATTGGCTGTGGTTTTGCCAGCTTTCCCAAGCAAATCTGTATGCACAAAGTCAGGGAGATGGTTAGAACATCTCTCACTTGATGAGGTGAATTTCAAACACATTACTTTGATGTTGATGGTCTTAATGTGCCCGGGTTTTAAAAATGAATGGTAGATTTCAAGTATCAGCTTGATTTGTGCTTACTGTTAACAATTCAAAGCAAATATTTTTATATACCCTCAAAAGCTGCATTTCCAGTTGCCAACAATTAGTAACTGCTTGTGAATAGCAGTGAGCTGACACCTTGAGAAGAGGTTATAAAGGTAGAAAACTCATTCTATAAACAGCAATATTACAGAAATGTGTTAGTCTGAGTTCTAAAGAAGTTACTTTTGTAGGGAATGAGTATTGCTGTCATGGCTTTCAGTTCCTATACATTTCTGAAGTTCTCGATTGCTAATAAAGCAGCAATTGTCTAATGATCAGCAAAGCTTTGGCTCTCTGTGCTTCACCTGAGAGGCTGTCTCTTAGCACTGGCTAATGAAACAGCCTTAGGAACTGCTGAGGCATTCCACAGCACCATGGAACATAACTTGATGAAGTGGAGAGGAGATGCACTTCTATTTGCTCCTTTGATAAAGCAGATGCTCTTGCTCTTGGTCCATTAGCTCCCTGTTAGCTCCTTTGGAAAGCTCCCTCGCTTTATGTGCAGCTCCATCTCAGCATTGATCTTTGTAGCAGCAATGTAGCTACCTGGAAAAAGGCAGTATTTATTCCTCAGTGCAGGCTGCAAACTGGTGAAATCATGGTTCTTTTTGTATCCTGCTAGTTCTCTGCTGCTGCACAGGATGAAAGATCCCCGAGCTCTCCCAGTGGGTTGGCAGCAGATGCTCCTCATCTGGAGCTGTTTCCATTTTCTTTTCTTCCCTGAAGCACCAACTTTCACAAGAATAACCTTTTGAGCAGTATGTGGCTGCTTCATCAAATACAGTTTTGTGATGTATTTACTCAGTATACTCAAAATGTCAGGACATGTATGTTGATTTTTGTCCCATTCATGCGTGCTGAATAAACACCAGTGCAGTAGGCAGACTGCTGGGTTGTGGCTGCCAGCCACGGCTCTGACTGTCTGCTTTGTTAGCCTGAATGGATTACAAAAGGTGAGAATTCTTTGTTTCTCTTGTTCTTTCCAGGGGACATGAGTTTTGGGTGGATTTGAATGTTATGAAATTGTATGAAACTGTTGAGTTTGACCAAATGCGGCGGCTCTCCACACCTTCCTGCCCCAGCTCCAGCTCCAGCTACTACACAGTCTGGAAATACTTCTGCAGGGACCACTTTGGCTGGAGAGAATACTCTGAGGTATTGAATGTGTTCCAGAATCCTGCTTTGGGGTTGCAATGCAAAATCCCATGTACAATATATGCTGTAAACTAGATCTACATCTTGAGACTGTTTCCTCTTCAGACATTCAGGGGAGTTAATTATAGTTATTGTTGAGGAAGATAATCAAGAAGGTCAGTGCTGAACTGAAAAAGCAGTAAAAGGAGAACTTTGCTCTGATGCACCTTGGATTACCCCTGGAAACATCAGAGAGACAGAGGCTGACTGAATTGTCAAATTGGAGAGCAAACTAGCCCGTGTCAGTACCAAGAAAGTCCTTTCTAATCCCTAGGAACCTGGCTTTAAGGCGGCTTTCTGTAGCCTTCTTACTGCCACTGCCACTCAGCTTTGCAGTTGGAATTCATGTCCCTGTCCCCAGAGGTTCCTCAGCACAGGCTGTGGGTCACTGCTCCAGCCCAGCTCATGGGCCCACAGCAGCCAGCCCTGCTCCTCCTTTCCTCAATGTCTCTGTTAAATCTGCTCACCCGTGGTTTATGCACAGCCATTGTTGCCCTTTGGTCTTTTAACAGCCACAGTTTTTCCTTGTCAGCTCTTTAACCCAAACACAGAAGTCACATCCACTGTCAAATAGCATTGTGCTGGACCAAACCCAACCCAGAGTACTTCCCTCAAGTAAGCTCTCCAGAAAGCCTTGGAAATACCTGTGGGAGTTAAGAGCTCCTTTTGGCTGACCAGACTATATATAATAGTATAATATATATATATATATATATAATAATGACTTTATATAATGCTTTGAATAAATCCTCATCAGTGTCTTACAATGTTGGTGGTACCAGAAGTACCTCCACCAGTGTGAAATAGGTCACATGCATCTTTCTCATGTGTCACACTGACTTTGTAGGTGTGGTTGGAAGCCTGAGGCAGGGCACTGAGTACAGTTTGGGCCTTTGCAAATGGAAAAAAAAATAAATATGCAGGAACTGGAGAGAGTCTGGAAGAAAGCACCACAAATAACAAGAAGCTGAGGGTGTTTCACCTGCAAGGGAAAGTTAAAAGAACTGTGTTTCTCTGACATAGAAAAGGAAACAAAATTGTAGGAGTATATTAATATATAAAATATTGTTCTACAGCAGGGTTCTGCTTTGAACATTCAGCGAGCAGAGACAAAAAGTGGCAAGGGAGTTTTAGTTAGGTTTTAGTTAGCTCTTGGGAACAGCATTTGATGTGGAACAATTTGACAGCAGTGCCAGCAGTTCTGCAGGAGAGCTGCAGGTCCTGCCTTGGTGGCAGCTCTTACAGGTCATGGAACGTCCTCAGGGGCTACGTGTACTAGTGCCTCAGAGCAGGGGACAGGGAGGAGAGGGCAGGGAGTACAAAGAGGTCTCTGACAGGAGTGCTAATATTTGAACATGTAATTCATCACGTGCTATGTTTTTGTTGTCTCCCCTTTCTTGGAGCAGCCAGTGGTGAGGCTGATAGAAGAAGCCAGCTGCCGGGGGCTGACGGAGGTGCGGTTTGTTACCTGGCATAATCAGTATATCTTGAACATCAAAGATGGATTCCAGCAAAACGCATGTTTCAGAAGAGAAATCAAGAGGAGGCCCCTCCTGCGCTCCTGCGTGGTGCTGATGCCCTTCCTACAGTAGGTATCCCAGCCAAAGGGAAGCCTTTGCCCTCCCTGTTGGTCTGCCCATTGTGGTCCTTGAGAGGTGGCGAGGAAATGGGCACCACTGGGTAGAAAAATCAGAAGAAAGTATAAAAAATCTGTGTGATAGTGGCAGCTCTTGCCTGTCATTTTTCAAGATGAACGTTACCTAAGGAACTCCTTTTCTGGAAGGCTCTGGGTGATCTGAAAGGTTATCCTGTGCCTCCTGGACCTCAGAGCATCGGAGCGCAGAGGTACTTTGGGTCTGCCAAAGTGTTGTCCAGCTTTCAGCATCTCACCAGCTGTAGTGATTGCCAGGCTATCAGCTCGAGCTCCCACAAACAGGACCATCCCAACCCACCCGATAATTCCCAAGCCCAGGGACAACACGCCTTGCTTGTGCTGTCACCTCAGCTGGGGGGGACACGCTTGCCCGGCAAAGGCAGCGTGAGGGAAGTGTTGCTCTCTGGTCAGTTTTGATGACAACCCATAAAGATGCCATTTCTGTGATCTCAGCAGCACAGCTGGAAATAGCCCTGTCAGAGCTGAGTACTTGGGAACACAGTGTCCTGTTAGCAGAGGGGAGGAGGTCATCAGCCTGCCGGGCAGCTGGGGTGCTGGGCCACCCCGAGCGCCGCTGGTCAGAGCCCCAGGGCACCCGGTGCCAGAAGCAGAAAGGTTCACAGGAAGGAAACCCTGAATCATTAGAGAGGTGCTGGCAGGATGTGGGTAAAAAGAGCAAGCCTGGACTTTGTGGTTACAGCCATTCTGGTTCTCATCTTCCTGAAAAACAAGGATTTCAGGTGTTCTCCTGCAGTTTTGCTACCAGTGGCTACAGTCTGCACCTGTGAGTTGGAGATAGGCTAAAATTAAGCTGTAACTAAAATTAACTGTAACTGTTCATGCCAGCTACCAAATCTGTAAACTAAGCTCTGAAATTTCAGTTGTTCTGCAGTAAACCAAATTCTTACTTTCTTTGCCTAAAGCCCTTGTAATTCTTACTTAAAAACCTACCCATTTTTAGCAGGGAACAAGGGAGTATTTTAAATATTTACAGGAGCTCTGCTTCAGAAGGCAGTATTTGCCTCCACCTACCACCCAATGCTGAGATTTCTTTATTTCCCTCCCCTCCCACCTGCTCATAAAATTCTTACACAATTGGGAAAGAATTCTTGAATAGAAACTGTGGCAAGTGGGTGACAAATGCTGACTTTCTAATGGCTTCCCTTGCATCATAAATGCTTACAAATCATTTATACTGGTCAGCAGAAGTGAGCAAAGTACCCCAGAAGTTTGCAGCATTTTTTTTTTGGTGTGTTTTATGTCTTACTCTTTAATTCATAACTTCCTGTTTATTTGTGCTTGGTCTTCTAGTCCAAGTCAAGTGTGAGTGAATGAGGTTCTACAATAATATTTTTTACCCATTGACTTTAGGAGGACAAAAATAATGATAAATGCTCACTGCAGACTGCTGTTTTAGTAATAATTCTTAGATAAATCCATCTTCTGGGTTTTCTGTTGAACTATTCAACAGTGAGAAGACTGTTGAGTCAAATCCATGCAAATAAAATGGGGTCTCTTTTTAGCTTTGAACAGCAGGTGAAAGCCACATGAACACTTCTTAGAAGAGCATGTCTGCTCTGAGATGTGAGTGCTGGTGCAGCTTCTGGCTCTCTGATCCAAAGCAAATCTGTCCCACTAAAAATAGACTTTTCCCCCCAACTTTTTTTCTAGACCTGAGCAGTTCAACCTGCAAACACAAAAGGACATTGACTTACTTTGTGGTCACACAAAAAAATCACACAGGGTTCTTTCAGGCTCATGTATCACTAGCATGAAAGACTAGTGATAATTATATTAACATATAAGAGAAATAAAGTCTTCTGGGAGCTCCTCACCCACTTGCATTCCTTGCTGCTCACTCCTGGAGTCAGCAGCAGCTTTGCTGTGAAAATACTTTGGTAAATTCTAACCATACCAATAATTTGGTAAATACAAAAATACTGATCTGGTGAAATTCTGAGATAGTTCCATGTAGAGTTGCCAGTGCAGGGGGGCAGGACCTGCAGGGCAGAGCCTGAACCTGCTCAGGGTATTTTCACTGACGTAAGAGGGAGAACTCCACTCAGGCAGGATTATTCTCTTGAGTGTGGCTTGCTTGCTCAGATTATGAGCAAGTGAACGTAAGCCACCAGTGCAACACTTCTTTGTCTAAATTTAGCACCTCCAGCAGTGTAAAAAAACTCCACGGAGGTGCAGGTATTGATGAAGTCTTGCCCTGCCACGGTTGGTGTCCTTAGCTGGATTTTGCTGGCTGTTCTTTTCCAGGCACTGGTGCTGTTTTCCTGCCAGGGCCATTCCAGGCAGAAGCTCCTCTCCTTCACCCCTTCCCCACTCAGCTGCTTTTCCACCAGGAAGGGCTGGGCTGTCCCAGGAAAATAAGCAACTGCAAATGCAAATCTACATCTGGGCAAATGTCAGAGCTTTCCTCAGCAGGGTGCTGGGTGGGACTGAGAGCCCAGCATCTCCTCCTCTGCCAAATGCAGGGACATATCAGAAGGTTTTGCCTATGAAATGTTATTAGCTGAGTTATTCATTAGTCCTGCTGGACAAGAAAGTGGATGTGCCTACTCCTGTATTCTAAGGAAATAAGGTCAAATGTCACCACATTGCTTGTTCTCTGTTAAGCTCACTAAGAGGTTACAGTGACACACCAGACTAGTGTATTGGGTGGCCTTCTGCCTGTCTGTAGTTTATAACCCCAGCCCAGAGTGTGAGCAATGACAACAGCAGGGTTTTAGACACCACTGAGCAGAGAAGCTCCTGACGTGGAGCAGCATCCCTGGAAGTCCAACCGTTACCAGTTTGCAGGGAGGGAGGAGCCACTGCAGAGCACCTGGCGGGATCCTCTTCCACAGGGGTTAGAGATACACCAGTGTTCTGGAGCTCAAGAGGGGCAATTGCTTAAAATCTGTTGATGAGGAGATAAAAGTGACTGGCAGCTCTTCAGTGTGTGAGTGTTCAAGCACAACCTTTCTCTCCTTCCCCCACCAGGACCTTGGGTGGCAACTCGCCCGCGCCCTCCCCCTCGGCTGAGCCGGCTTCCGCACGTGTCTTATCTCCTGCTGCTCTTACCTCCCCAAACTTCTATCCTGAGACCTGGATTAGTATGGATCCATCTCAGGACTTCATCCAAGTGCCTGTTCTGAAGGAAGATAAAAGCTATAGAACCATTTACAACCTGTTCCACAAGACTGTGCCAGAGACCAAATACAGGATCTTGAAAATTCTCCGAGTGCAGAATCAGTTTCTTTGGGAGAAATACAAAAGGTAAGGGGGTGCAGGTACCAGTCCTTTACCCTAGGGGAAAAATACCTTACAATATTTAATTTGGGCTGCAAAATAAACACTGACCATTAAGTAGAAGGCAGAAACTCCAGATTTTCTGAAGAAAAGGAGCCTCTTCAGTTGAAGAACTTTATCTGAAAAATATCTTAGCCCTGGTGGGTCCCTGTAAGAGGTTTAATCAGCACAATCTGCTGATTACTTCTGTAAAAATGCATCTTCACAGAAACTTCAGATAGGATATCTAGCTGAAAAATCTCCAAGCCAGATGAGGAGGCATTGGATCATCTCTGTATGGAAAGCAGCCCTCAGTGCCTCAGTGCCCCCAGCAAGGTGACCCAGGGCCCTGCAGGGACGAGCTGCTCTGTCAAGTCAGTCCCACTCAAACCAAAGGTGCTGTGTCTGAAGTTTCCTCCCACTGACCACTTCACTACCCAGGGGAATTGGGTTTGTGGATCCTCTCTCCCTTCTCAAGAAATGCCAAATCTTGGGAGAGCTTGAGGGGTGGGCTGTGTGAGCAGAGACTGACTTTCTCACCATATTCATGCTGGTCTAGACCATCTCCACCCACCCTGTCCCACTAATTCCTCTCCATGGTCTCTTCTGAGGCTGGAGTGGGATTCTGGTTTTGCACAGCCCTTGTTTTTGCTCCGAGGAAGATTTCCTTCCTCATCCAAGGTGAAACACAAAGGTAAGCAGGGCACTTCTCCAGCTGCTTTGCCTTTGCTGCTGTGTAGGTGAGGGAGCTCTGCTGCCAGCAGGATCAGCTCAGGACCTTTCAAAAACACCTCATTCACACAAAAGCTTTGTTTGCAAGCAGAAGTCCCACTTCACTGTCTGTGCAGAAATGTTGTCATCTCTGCTCTTACAGCTCTGCTGTTCCAGAGGGCAACCCCTGGTATTTAAGAGCTGTAGCGAAACCTCCTTTTCCCTTGCAGACCTGCAGTGAATGCTCATCTTCACTTTCCATTTTCTCTTCCAGGAAAAAGGAATATATGTCCAAAAAAATGTCTGGGCTTGACAGGATAATGAACGAGAGGCATTTGTTCCACGGCACCTCCCAGGACGTGGTGGATGGAATCTGCAAGCACAACTTCGACCCCCGGGTCTGCGGGAAACACGCCACCATGTTTGGACAGGGCAGTTACTTTGCCAGAAAAGCAAGTTATTCCCATAACTTTTCCAAAAGGTCACCCAGGGGAGTTCATTACATGTTCCTGGCGAAGGTCCTGACGGGCCGGTACACGGTGGGGAACCACACCATGAGGAGACCCCCCCCTGTCAACCCCGGCAGCATCACCAGCGACCTCTACGACTCCTGTGTGGACAATTACTTCGAGCCTCAGATTTTTGTCATTTTCAATGATGATCAGAGTTACCCCTATTTCATCCTCCAGTACGAAGAGGTCAGCAACACCGTCTCCATTTGAAAGCTCCTGCTGCTGAATCACTCCTTTGAATGAACTCTCTGGCACTGCTAGCAGGTTTTTTTTTGGGGGAAAAATAGAAGTGGACACTGCAGAACTGATGAAATTACTTGCTTGAAAGGAACTAAATCTCCAACTATAGGAAAGAAGATCTGAAGTGACCAATTGTGCACTTGCTGTTTGATTATGTCTGTGCAAATTGTACATATTTTTCCATTGTTTATAGTTGAAAATCCGTGCCTTTTGTTATAAAACACTGTTTATTTATGGCAGTAAATATTCATGTTTAAAAACGTGTGTGCGTGTGTCATTTCAGTTGTGTTCTGTGTGTGTCAGAAGGGCTAGAAAGTGGAAACCTTCAGGATGGCCATTCCTAAGTAATCAGAACCAGGTGATTTTCACCCCAAGTGCATTAAAGAAGAGATTCTCCCAGCCACCTATTTCTGTTAGTATTTTTCAGAAGAGTTTACAAAGATCCTGCTCCTACTTGGGATTATTAAACAGGCCGATGCAAACAACACAACAGTAAATAACAAGTAACCCCATTCCAACCCCCAGCACAGCCTCCTGGAGTCACCTCTGAAGGCCCTGGCTCAGCAGAGCCCACACCTCATGCTCAGGAGGCATTGGAACACTCCAACTAAGTCACTAGAGGTTTGTCACAGGCACCCCTGGGGCCCTGCTGCCCTGCCACAGTGCTGCAGAACTGCAGTGCCATGGCAGCTCCTGGCCAAGCAAGATCAACCACGATCCCTTCCAGCAGGTCCCCTCAAGCTGCCAGGGCCAGCTGGAACCCAGGTGCCCTGTCCTCCTTAGGGTCTTCACCAAGAGTTGGGTATCTCCTTAGAAAAGCTGCACTGGCTTTACTAGCAGCAGGGTGGCCTGGCAGTGCTGGCCTGATGACCAGGGTGGTGGGGTGGCCCTGGTGCCCCTGCCAGCCCCTGGAGCAGCTGGGGAGTCTCTGGGATGGGGAGGGACCTTCAGCCTTGGTGCTCTGCAGCTCAGCAGCAAACCTTCTTCAGCTGAGCCTGAAGCTTTGGGATAGATAACCTGCTGGGTGTTCTGTGTGTGTCAGAAGGGCTAGAAAGTGGAAACCTTCAGGATGGCCATTCCTAAGTAATCAGAACCAGGTGATTTTCACCCCAAGTGCATTAAAGAAGAGATTCTCCCAGCCACCTATTTCTGTTAGTATTTTTCAGAAGAGTTTACAAAGATCCTGCTCCTACTTGGGATTATTAAACAGGCCGATGCAAACAACACAACAGTAAATAACAAGTAACCCCATTCCAACCCCCAGCACAGCCTCCTGGAGTCACCTCTGAAGGCCCTGGCTCAGCAGAGCCCACACCTCATGCTCAGGAGGCATTGGAACACTCCAACTAAGTCACTAGAGGTTTGTCACAGGCACCCCTGGGGCCCTGCTGCCCTGCCACAGTGCTGCAGAACTGCAGTGCCATGGCAGCTCCTGGCCAAGCAAGATCAACCACGATCCCTTTCAGCAGGTCCCCTCAAGCTGCCAGGGCCAGGTGGAACCCAGGTGCCCTGTCCTCCTTAGGGTCTTCACCAAGAGTTGGGTATCTCCTTAGAAAAGCTGCACTGGCTTTACTAGCAGCAGGGTGGCCTGGCAGTGCTGGCCTGATGACCAGGGTGGTGGGGTGGCCTTGGTGCCCCTGCCAGCCCCTGGAGCAGCTGGGGAGTCTCTGGGATGGGGAGGGACCTTCAGCCTTGGTGCTCTGCAGCTCAGCAGCAAACCTTCAGCTGAGCCTGAAGCTTTGGGATAACCTGCTGGGTCTCCACTTCCTGAAGCCTAATACAGGTGTTTTGCCATGGCAGGGAATGATTTACTCCACCCACCTGCACTCCTGCTTGGTGCTGTCCTACCCAGTCCTTCCTCATCACCTGTGGTAGATCAAACCAGCTGGTAGGTGGGAAGAGGAGGAAGATCCAAGCAGCTGCTTCCAGTTCACTCTCAATCCCTCCTGAGGCTCCAGGCAGCACAGGGGAGAGCTTAAATTTGAGGGAGTTTGCCTTGGAGGAGGAGATGGTGGGATGGGAGTGACTGGGTGTGATGCACAGCACAGAGGAGCTGGTCTTGGCTGTGGAGATGACTTTAGAAAGGTAAGGTGGTTTGTGGAGGAAGGGGTGGTGATGAAGCTGAGGTTGTCTCCTTTTTAAAACCTGCTAAATCTTCTGCCTGGGCTTCCCTATATGGGAGGTGTCCCTGCCCAAGGCAGGAGGTGGGACTGGATGAGATTTACAGTGCCTCACAACACACAACCACTCAATGATAGGATTCCATGATGTGACTTCAGAAATGAGATTCAATACTTAAGATGCTTAATTACTTAAGAGACAGAAGACTGTGGATAAGGGTGGATATTCCCACAGCTTTTGTGCTTGGTAGTTCCCTCAACGAAGGGTTCTGGCCAGTTGGAGACTGAGGTGGGCAGGGTCAGTGCAGGAGGTGGTGGGAGTGCTGCAGAGGGGGGGAAACCTCTGCCTTTCCCAGCCCTGGAAAGGTCACCCTGGGAGCCCAGCTGGTCACAGGGATGTGCTGGTGGGCACCCAGCAAGGTGAGGGCTGGTAATCTTCTGGGGCCCACCCAGAGCTCCCCTGGAGCTCGTGGAGGATCCCACTTGGGTTCCAGCCCCAGCACTGGGCAGGAATGAGGGTGCTGCGTGGGTGCCAGGGCTGGGCAGGAGGAACAGAGTGTGCCCCTCAGCAGGGAGGGCTGGTAACTGCCTCCCACGGTACCAGCCAGTGTCCTGCCCTGTGCTGCTGGTGTCACCTGCCAGGAATCTGGGGATGAGAGTAGGTGAGAATGAGGGCTGGTGATAGAGATCTCACTTCGTCACTGCTGAAATGGTAGGTGGTGACACATGCTCTGGGCAAAGCTTTGTCATCATGAGAAGACAGTCCTGCTGGGGTGGGGGTGGCAGGGAGGGTTGTGTGTGCCAAGAGAGACCTTCTGGGCTGTGCTCGTGTTCCCAGAGCCGTGGGAAACCAGCACAGGCTGCACCTCCAGGGCTCTGCTCACCTGCACTTGTCGATGGGGACCCTGCCAGGGCCACCCTCCCAGCTCTGGGGGCAGCAGCTCCAGCACCGACCTGGGTGATGGTGAAAGATGGGCTGGTGTCTGAGCTGGAGGGTGTTGTCAGCATGGAACAGGCTGTTCTGGACAGCAGCAAAAAGCCCTCTCTGACTGGGAGCAGGAACAGTGTGTGCTGACTGGGAAGCCGGGCAGAAGGTCAGGAGGCTGCTCCTCAAGGAGATGTCCAAGTGCCAGCTGCCCCAGGGGTTGGGTGGGAGCAGCCAGACCATTGTCATTCCTGCCCACCCTTTCTTGAGAGAGGCTGGGGCTTGGCTGGGCTGCAGAACAGCCAGGCAGGGACCTCAGCTGCGCTTCTGCTTCGGCCTCCCATCTTGTACCAGTGTTGTTCAGGCCTGTCAAGCTTCTAGATTTCTTCAGAGGATAATAATCTTGGGGTGGGAGATGCTCCCTGTCCCCTCCTTACCCCTGTGCTCCTTTGCGGCTGGTGAGGCAGCTCTGTGGGAGGTGCTGGGGGAAGTGGCTTGGAGAAATGTGGGTGACTGTAGTGGGAAGGCTCCTCAGGAGGTGTCCTTCCAGTGGGAAGCAGCCTTGGGAGGTGCCCAGACCAAGCTCCTGCTCAGAGCTGGGTCAGCTCTGAGGTCAGACCAGGGGGTTCAGGGCTTCATCTAGCCTGCTCTTGCTGGGCAGCCTGTTCCACCACCCAGTGTCCTTGGTGTGGGGAAAGTGTCCTTACACCCAGGATCACATGGTGACACGCCCAGGTGACTGGTGTCCAGGTTTCAGTTGTTTTCTGTCACTTTGGAACTCTGTGCAGGGGGGTCAGAAGTGCTGGTGGTGATGAGTGAGCCCATGGATGGGTGCAGTGGATCTTGCAGGCTGCAGGAGCCCGTGCTGGGTGGCTCTCCCAGGGCTCCCACAGGACTTCTGCAGCCACAGAGGAGCAGAGTGCAGCAGCAGAGGTGTGACTCAGCCAGCACAGCCTGGAGGAGTGTGTGGAGCAATCCTGCCAGGCTGCTGCTGGGCATGTGTGCAGGAGCTTCCCAGAGAAGCGAGGGGGGATGGAGAGAAGAAAGTGTTCCTTGACTGAAGGAGATCAACCCAACCTCAGGGTGGGGTAAACCCAACAGGTCCAGGGCACAGAGCTGCTCTCCAATCACATGTGAAGGTCTTTCCTTCCTCAGGCCTGGAAAAACACTATTTCCTCTCTGTTTTGCTGGGATGAAGCCAGGAGGATACTTTGCCATCAGGGTCTGGCCCAGGGCTTCCTTCTGCCTGAGGGGAAGTGAAGGGCTGAGAACCAGGCTTTGAGACTCCAACAAAGGAATCTCTTTGCTTCCTGGTGCCAGACCCCTGGTTGCACACACAGTCTGGGGTTTGAGATTTGGGTTTGCTTTTTTTTTTTTCATCTGGAGATGTGAGGTTCACGGACAGTTCCGAGAACTGGGTTTCAGAAGCAGGAACCATCTCTGGCTGCCCCTGGGGCTTTTCCATGGCTGGCAGTCCACGATGTTGCCACCAGGCTAACGTCACAGCGACCAAAAGCATCCTCTCCAGGAAGCTTTTCTTCTCTTATGGCTACAGAGTCTGTTTTTATGAGAATATTTTCCCATAGACAGGACAACAAATGTCAGGTTGACCTACGAGTTGTTCTTTCCTCCACCTCCTTCGGGCTGCCTCTTCCTCAACTCCCTGGGTACAAGTTGTTTCATGCGTAATTAGACTACCATAAATCATCTGCCTTTTCCCCCATCCACAAGGAGCACATTCCCATGCATTGATGCACACCCATCAGGCCCTGTGCAGTCCTCATACCTCTGCAGCCAACCAGCACCAAGTGTTCAGCAAACCCCACCAAGAAGGAAGCTGGTGTCTCTCTCCCAGCAGTGTCCTGAAGAGGAATCAATCAGCTCTACAGCCAAATATCATGGGTGCCTGGACCTACAGCCACTGTGGGATGGGCTCATGGTGGGGCACAGGTTCAGGTTAGTGGAGATGACCACACAACCTGTTGGGTGCTCTGAGACCAGGTTATGGGTCAGCTTTGGGGGTGAGCTTCCCTGTTTGTGCACCCAGTTTCTGGGGACAGAGCTGCCCCTTTCATGGAGCTGAAGGGGTGGCAGGCAGGGCTTGTGCACCCAGCCAAGTTCTGGGCTCTCTGATGGAACCACAGAATTGTTCTGGTTGGAAAAACCTCTTAAGATCATTGAGTCTGAGCATTAACCCAACCCTGCTGAGTCTGG